CATTCATCAAATCTCATATCATGAAAATTTGGTGAGGAAAATTATTACTGTTTTTTTAAAACGACTTTATCGTGGTATCCACTTAATACAAAGTTTTCAATTTGATAGTTTTTAGTGTCTTTCAGAGTTGTACAACTATCACTATTTTCTAATTGCAGAACATTTTGATCACTCCCAAAAAGAAACCTCATACTCATAAATCCATTTTATTTATTTGTTTGTTTATTTGTTTATTTATTTATTTTTGAGACAGAGTCTCACTGGTTATTTTTAAATGACTTTTTTTTTTTTGAGACAGAGTCTCACTCTGTTGCCCAGGCTAGAGTGAGTGCCGTGGCGTCAGCCTAGCTCACAGCAACCTCCAACTCCTGTGCTCAAGCGATCCTCCTGCCTCAGCCTCCCCAGTACAGAGTCTCACTCTGTTGCCCAGGCTAGAGTGAGTGCCGTGGCGTCAGCCTAGCTCACAGCAACCTCCAACTCCTGTGCTCAAGCGATCCTCCTGCCTCAGCCTCCCCAGTAGCTGGGACTACAGGCATGCGCCACCATGCCCGGCTAATTTTATATATATATATTAGTTGGCCAATTAATTTCTTTCTATTTAGAGTAGAGACGGGGTCTCGCTCTTGCTCAGGCTGGTTTCGAACTCCTGACCTTGAGTGATCCTCCCGCCTCAGCCTCCCCGAGTGCTGGGAGAATAAAGATACATAGTTTAATCATCAGATTCAAAATCAGAAAAGTCTAGCATGGGTGGTCACAGTATTCACAGGCGACTGAGCGTGCCAATAGGGCAGTGGAACGTCTGTGTTGAGTTTCAAACCTCTGCTTCGTTAGCCTTGATGTCATGACCGTTGTCTGTCTGTCCACCTGCTATTGTAGCAGTGCCCAGACTCAGCCTTACATCGGGTGGGACCTGTCCTATGCTAAGATGGGGGCTCAGGACAGCCCCAGTTCACCAGTCCAGGTGATCCGGCACCTGCCCAACCTCACCACGAATTTTGATCTTCGTCCTTCTAGTGCCTGGACTACGCGTCCTTGTGTCACAGCCTCCGTCTCTAATTGTTGGTGTGTGTTCCTTCCTGAGCCTTGCCTTGTCATGCTCTTTGACATTCTATTTCTCCAAATAGGGGCCTCTGCTTTTGAAGAGAATGATGTTTTTTTTTCAATAAAAACCAAACAAATAAAAAAAAAATTCCTTGAAGAGAGTGAGGTTGTACTGACATACCTTTTTGTGGGTTAAACTCACCTTCCTAGCTGCAGGTCCAAGTTTCCTGTTCTTAGACTTTGCATCATGCACCTGTTTGCTGGGATAAGATCTTTTCTTGGCTGGACCTCGCTGGTGCTTTTTACCTGGTGCCATATGGTCTAGATACCATCTTCTGCCTCTCTTACTAGATTTCTTACAACTTCCAACAATGTCGATATTCAGCTGTTAGCGTCTTTCCGTCTGTCCTGGTATTTACACCCAGCACCTCTTTGTGATCCCCTTTGTGTACTGATTGCTTAATATATATATTTTATTTTTTGAGACCGTCTCACTCTGTTGCCCGGCCTAAAGTGCCGTGGCGTCAGCCTCGCTCACAGCAGCCTCAAACTCCTGGGCTGAAGCGATCCTCCTGCCTCAGCCTCCGGAGTAGCTGGGACTGCAGGCATGCGCCACCATGCCCGGCTAATTTTTTATATATATATTAGTTGGCCAATTAATTCCTTTCTATTTTTAGTAGAGACGGGGTCTCGCTCTTGCTCAGGCTGGTTTTGAACTCCTGACCTTGAGCGATCCTCCCGCCTCGGCCTCCCAGAGTGCTAGGATGACAGGCGTGAGCCACCACGCCCGGCCTGTTACTAGATTTCTTAAAACCTCTAACAATGTCGATATTCAGTTGTTACACATCTTTCCGTCTGTCCTGGTATTTACATCTAGCGGCAATTTTGATCCCCTTTGTGTACTGATTGCTTAATATATGTATTTTATTTTTTGAGACAGTCTCACTCTGTTGCCCAGGCTAGAGTGCCGTGGTGTCAGCCTAGCTCACAGCAACCTCCAACTCCTGGGCTCAAGCGATCCTCCTGCCTCAGCCTCCCGAGTAGCTGGGACTACAGGCATGCGCCACCATGCCCGGCTAATTTTTTCTATGTGTTTTTAGTTGACCAATTAATTTCTTTATACTTTTAGTAGAAACAGTGTCTCGCTCTTGCTCAGGCTGGTTTCAAACTCCTGACCTTGAGCGATCTTCCTGCCTCGGCCTTCCAGAGTGCTAGGGTGACAGGCGTGAGCCACCGCGCCCGGCCTCATTGCTTCATATTTTAAACATGACACCTGAGAGGTACCCTGCCTGTTGCAGGCATTGCCGGGTCCCAGATTACTGGGTTCTGGCCTGTTCTACTACAGGCCCGAACGCTTGGGCTTCTTTTCTGGAAGTAACTATTAAAATGTTTGCTGTCTCCTTACTGCACTGATAAGAGTTTCAACACAAGTTTGCTGACCTTGTACGGGATGCAGTAAGCCACGCTGTCTTGGTTCTTCTTCCTCCCAGTCTCTAGCTGTGTGTTGCTGCAGGACATCACCTGTTTGGTGGAATTCCTGAGTTTTATTTTAGATCCAGTAGCTGGTTTGTATTAAGCATGCTATTTCCCAATTTATTAAATTTTGCTCAAATCAGTAAAGTTTTGGGGTGGTCTTTTTGTTTTGTTTTGTTTTTTGAGACAGAGTCTCACTCTATTGCCCAAGCTAGAGAGAGTGCCATGGCGTCAGCCTCACTCACAGCAACCTCCAACTCCTGGCCTCAAGCGATCCTCCTGCCTCAGCCTCTCGAGTAGCTGGGACTACAGGCATGTGCCACCATGCCCGGCTAATTTTTTTGTATATATATTTTTAGTTGGTCAATTAATTTCTTTCTATTTTTAGTAGAGACGGGGTCTAATTCTTGCTCAGGCTGGTTTCGAACTCCTGACCTCAAGTGATCCTCCCGCCTTGGCCTCCCTGAGTGCCAGGATTACAGGCATGAGCCACCACGCCCAGCCAAGGGTCGTTTTTTTAATATATATATACACAAAAAGAGAATTGAAGAGAAATCCATTTGGATGGGGAAGGATGTAAAAGCCCAATTCCAATTTTTTTGTTAGACTTGTTCCTCTCAGAAGACAATGAATTGCAAATGTGATCACAAGTCATAGTAGAAATCATATGAATTGTTTTATAAGCTGTATTTTCAGTTCTATTATTGACACATGATACAGAAAGTAGTTAAGGCATTCATAAAGAATGAAGAATGAACTAATATCCATTAATGTGTAATATAGTAACAATGTAACATAATAAACAGACTTGCACGGGGTACATTAAGTGCATCCTTTTTTGTTTAAAACAATCTGCACAGTAGTATTTTGGAACAATGTATAAATGAGTCATTTTTTTTTCTTGCCTCCAGTGTATCTTGGAATGGGATAAATGAGTCATTTTTTATTATAGATAGCAGTGCTACGGAAGAAAAGTAAAAGGTGATTTTAATAAAATGGCCTTGGTAATGTTATTGAAGATAAGGTTACTACTTTTTTTTTTTGAGACAGAGGCTTTTTTGCCAAAGCTAGAATAAGTGCCGTGGCGTCAGCCTAGCTCACAGCAACCTCCAACTCCTGGGCTCAAGCGATCCTCCTGCCTCAGCCTCCCGAGTAGCTGGGACTACAGGCATGTGCCACTATGCCCGGCTAATTTTTTCTATATATTTTTAGTTGGATTTTTAGACCCAGAGATGCAATTAATTTCTTTCTATTTTTAGCAGAGACGGGGTCTCGCTCTTGCTCAGGCTGGTCTCGAACTCCTGACCTTGAGCAATCTGCCCACCTCGGCCTCCCAGAGCCAGTGCATTCTTCATTTTTCAAGACCCACCCTTGCTTGGGTTAGCCAGATAGTCAACACTTCATTTGTTCTTCACTTCAAATATTACTGCATAGTTACACACACCCTTCTGTCTGTCTTTCTCTGCTCCTGGATCAACGGTCTTGTTCTTCTTTGTATATTTAATGCTTATTATTTTTTTTTTTCTGTCTTCTCTATCCCTCAGAT